GTGCGGGTGACCCAGGAGCCCTTCTCAGCGCTTTAGGGACATTTTAATAACCTGAGTAATTGCCTTTGATAGGCAGGCTTTGCTTCCTGCTCATTAATTACTCTCCAGGCTAGACTTTATTCCTCTTACCACTAATTCAGATACAGAGATACATAAAATGGGTGCTGCCAGCCGATTGCCACACCACTGTCTGCCTATCAATGCTCTCCTACCTGCTTGGGCATGAGGAGGAGAGGAGAACAGAAAGGGTTTGACAAGTATTACCCAGGACAGATGAATTTGTTTTAAAAGCCACATTCTGGGGCCGCCTGGGTGGCTCAGTTGTTAAGCGTCTGCCTTCGGCTCAGGTCATGATCCCAGGGTCCTGGGATCGAGCCCTGCATCGGGCTCCCTGCTCCGTGGGAAGCCTCCTTCTCCCTCTCCCACTCCCCCTGCTTGTGTTCCCTCTCTTGCTATGTCTCTCTCTGTCAAATAAGTCAAATTTTTAAAAAAAAAAGCCACATTCTGGTACAGAAACCAGAATTTTGACACAGACAGGCATACCTCACTTTATTGGACTTCCCTTTCTTGGGGTTGGCAGGTACTTCATTTTTTACAAACTAAAGGCTTGTGGTAACCCTGCATCGAGCAAATCCATCTGTCAAATAAGTCAAATTTTTTAAAAAAAAGCCACATTCTGGTACAGAAACCAGAATTTTGACACAGACAGGCATACCTCACTTTATTGGACTTCCCTTTCTTGGGGTTGGCAGGTACTTCATTTTTTACAAACTAAAGGCTTGTGGTGACCCTGCATCGAGCAAATCCATTCGGCGCCATTTTCCCAACAGCATTTGCTCACTTTGTGTCTCTGTGTCACATTTTACTAATTCTGGAATATTTCAAATCTCTTCATTACTCTTTTATTTGTTACGGTGATCCATGATCAGTGAGCTTTGATGTTATCATTGTAATTGTTTGGGGGCCCCGCGAACCATAGAAGATGGCAGACGTAATTGACAAATGTGTGCGTTCTGGCTGCTCTTCTGACTGGCTGTTTGCCCACCTTGCTCTCTCAGGCCTCCCTATTCTGAGACACCAGCAAAATTGAAATCAGGCCAATTAATAACCCTACAGTGGCCTGTAAGTGTTCAAGTGAAAGGAAGAGTCATGGGTCTCTTACTTTAAATCAAAAGCTAGAAATGATTAAGCTTAGTGACGGAGGTATGTTGAAAGCTCGGCCTCTGGCACCAGTTTGCCAAGTTGTGAATGCAAAGGAAACACTGTTGAAGGAAATTAAAAGAGCTCCTCCAGTGAACACATGAATGATAAGAGAGCAAAACAGCCTACTTGCTGATCTAGAGAAAGTTGCAGTGGTCTGGACAGAAGACAAACCAGCCACAGTATACATCCCCTTAGGCCAAAGCCTAATGCAGAGCAAGGCCCTAACTCTCTTGAATTCTGTGAAGGCTGAGCGAGGTGAGGAAGCTGCAGAAGCAAAGTTGGAAACCGGCAGAAGTTGATTCGTGAAGTTTAAGGAAAGAAGCTGGCTCCCTAATATAAGGTGAAGCAGCGTTATCCAGTGACCCAGATATCCAAGTTCTCCAGAAAATCTAGCTAAGATAATTCACGAAGATGACTACACTCCACATGACACATTTTCAGTGTAGATGGCACAGGCCTTTTTAGAAGCAGCAGCCATGTAGGACTTTAATAGCTAGAGAGGAGAAATCAGTGCCTGGCTTCAAAGCTTCAAAGGACAGGCTCTCTTGTTAGGGGCTAATACGGCCCTGGTGACCTTAAGTTGAAGCCAGTGCCTGTTGACCATTCTGAAGATCCTAGGGCCCTTAACGGTTATGCTAAATCGACTCTGCTTGTGCTCTGTAAATGGAACAGCAGAGCCTGGATGACAGCACATCTGTTCACAACCTAGTTTAGTGAGTATTTTAAACCCACTATTGAGACGCGTTAGCTCAGGAAAATACTTATGACTGCTCACTGGCAGTGCATCTGGTCACCCAAGAGCTCTGATGGAGGTGGACAGTGAGATTCATGTTGCCTTCGTGCCTGCTGACACAACATCCACTCTGCAGCCCATGGATTAAGGAGTCGTTTTGACTTTCAAGTCTTATTATTTAAGAAATAGGTTTCATAAGGCTCTAGCTGCCACAGATAGTGATTCCTGTGATGGATCTGGGGACAGTAAATAGAAAACCTCCTGGAAAGGATTCACCATTCTAGAGGACATTCAGAACATGTGTGATTCATGGGAAAAGGTCAAAATACCAACACTCCCAGGAGTCTGGAAGAAGCTGATTCCATCCCTTGTGGATGACTTTGAGGGGTTCAAGACTTCAGGGGAGGAAGTAGCAAGAGAACTAGAGCGAGAAGTGGAGCCTGAAGGTGTGACTGAATTGCTGTCATGTCATGATCAAACTTGAAAGGATGGGGAATTTTTTCTTATGGATGAGCAGAGAAAGTGGTTTTGTTTGTTTTTGGTTTTGTTTTTAAAGATTTATTTATTTGAGAGAGCACAAGTGGGAGGGGCAGAGGGAGAAGGAGAGAGAATCTCAAGCAGACTCCACACTGAGTGCAGAGCCCGATGCAGGGCTCAATCTCACAACCCTGAGATCACGACCTGAGCCCAAACCAAGAGTCGGACGCTTAACTGATGGAGCCACCCAGGTGCCCCGAGAAAGTGGTTTCTTGAGATGGAATCTACTCCTGGCAAAGATGTTGTGAAGACTGTTGAAATGACAGCCAAGGATTTAGAATATTCTGTAAACTTAGTTGATAATGCAGTGGCAGAGTTTGAGAGGATTGACTCTAATTTTGAAAGAAGTTGATCTGTGGGTAAAATGCCCTCAAGCAGCATCTCATGCTACAGAGAAATAGTTTGTGAGAGGAAGTGCCAATCTATGTGGCAAACTTCATTGTTGTCTTATTTTAAGAAATTGCCACAGCCACCTCAACCTTCAGCAAGCACCACCCTG